AATGCATTTGTCTTTAAATTAATGCTTTCCTAAATTTGTGCGAGTATGAAAGCAATGACATTTCAATTTCGAGCGTAATAATTTTTTTTAATTTCCTCCGATAAAATAAATTTTTCTTGTGAACATTAATCATTATTGTAAACATTAATAATTATTGTAAAGAAACAATTATCGTTATATTAGGAAAAAGTATCTTGAATAAAACTAAGCATGTTTTAATAGTAGCTAAATATTTTATTTATTTTATTTATACGTATATAACAAAAAGTGTTAGTTGTGTCTGTAAAATATAACTTTCTGCTTTGTAGCCGTTTTTCTCCAATATAAATAAACAAAAATATTTGTTTATATCAACCAAACAGTTTAGTCGGAAAAAACAAATACTTCATTTACAAAGCAAAAAAATTCGGAAAAACAATTAAATTATTTGTTACATAAATAAAATATTTGGTTGCTGTTAAGAAATGCTTCAACTTACAGTTTTGCTAAAAAACAAAAAAATTTTATCTTAACATGATTTTATAGAAAAATATTATATGTTCATTGCAAGTCACAATATCGCTTTATTGTTTTATCCTACTTTATTCAAATTCTAATTTTTTTTAATTAAAAATACTTGTTATTTTAATTATTTCTGCTTACTCTGCACCTGCCAAGAGCAAATGATGTACTGGCCGAAGAAAGCGAATAGCAACAATATTATTGAAGAACACTTCATCTTTATGCAAATATATGGGATGCACATGCATGTACGTAACTCGCGCACAATGAATTAACGAAATCAATATTAGATTTTATTGCAAGAAAATTAGAAAGATTGTATTTTATTTCAAGAGCAAACACCGTGGAGACACCGCCTCTACTTCAGAATAATACACAGAATGTGGTTTTAAATATTTCCGGTTTCACACGCTGCTTCACACAATAACCACAACAATGATAGCGTTGCGAAGCTGCGCGAGGATGTTTCCGACAAAGAAGAAAATTGGATTTGCGCAATTAAACGCGGCGAAGATATAAATGGAGAGTCGAGCTTTCATCCTTTTATTTGGGGCTAGACTTGTGTAGCCGAGGGCGGGAACACAGTTTCCGCTGGCACGCGAGCGATAGCCCTTTTATCGTCTTCCGGTGCTTTATCTTCGTCGCGAGTCGCCAGGCCTTGAGGAAAATCCCTGGAGATTGCATTTCGCGCGAAACATGTCCGGCGCCAACTCGATAATCTTGATTTGGGATACGAAATTTTCCATCCGGACTGTCTGATTCTACGATTTATCGAGATCGTAATCTAGAGTCTAAAGTCCAAAAGAATCTAAAGGAGCTCAAATCCATCAAATCGTTGAAAGAAATATTATCTTTTGTTTCAAAATCAACTTCTACATTTCGATTTTGCTTTAAGGATCCTTTCATTTTTATTTTTACATCATACATACTTATAATAATTTTAAGAAATGTATTCTTTTATAATTCAATTATTATTAATTTTTATAGTGCTAATTTAGTTTTAATATATAAAGAAAGAAAGAAAGAAAAGAAAAGCAAAAAAATGAAATAATAATACAAATTGTTTTTGAAGCAGCCATCATCGACAAATATGCAAACAAATATGTCGGAAAATTTTTTTAATATAGTTTAGTATTTTTAAATCACATTATTATTTTAAAAATTATTTTTATTGTAATTTTTGTTAGCTCATAAAGAAAAGGTTTATGACTTTCTAAGAGAAGAATAATCCGAAGCCTCTTTAGCTCAGTGGTAGAGCACTGGTCTCGTAAACCAGGGGTCGTGAGTTCAAACCTCACAGGAGGCATTTTTTTTTGCATCTTGTTTATATTACAAATATATCATTTTTCATTATTTTTCAGAAATATTAAAATGCCAACGCGCATAATGCACCCATTAATTTTTTACTATCTATTTTTTATATTCTATTTTTAAAATTACAGTATAAAACATAAGTTTGATTGTATTCATATATACATTATATGCGCATGTTTTCCTTCCTCTATTAAATTATATCAATTATAATATCTTTT